GGGTATTACACTAAGAATTATAAAAAAAAGTACAATAAGTTTTTTAAAATTTAAACTTGAGTTGATGTTAAAATAATGAGTCTATTTCAAGACCTGTAAGTTTTATTGAGTATTTGAATTTAATTTAAAATTTAAATTAAATAAAATTATAATTTTAAATATTTAATATATGTAATTAATTTTTAACATAATTAAATCAAGTCGAATTGAATTGAATTATATTTATTTTTTATATTGAATTTTTAACTCAAACTTAAACTCAAGTGAAGTTAGGTCCAACTTAAATTTTATTCAAGTAGCGTAACTCATTTACAGTCCTAACGCAAAACTAACAAAGTGAAGGTTGAGGACCAACTTATACTTTGAGCCAAAACTTAAGGACCAAAGAAAGCTATTTACCTTATAGACGGAAAGAAGAAAACCCATGTGGTGGAATGGCTCACTATCTACGTGCTAAAGTATAATTGAAGTTACCAAACCAGGGTAGGATCAAGTAGTAAATGATTTATTTTAGGTTAAATAAAATTTTAAATTTAAAATTTTGTGTGTGTAATAATTTTTATTAGAAGACTTATCTATTATTTTTAAATGCATAACACAAGTCAAATCTAAATTAATTGGAACGAAACCTTAAATACCAGACGAAAAATTAAGACGAAAAATCAAAACAAAAAGAAAAAAGGTATAATTGAAGTTCTATGGCCTATTTTCAAAAAGAAAAAAATAAAAGCATAATTGAAGTTAAAGCTGTCACCGACGGTGTACGTGATAATCGTCCTTGGGTGCGGGGCGTTGAAGATTCAAACACTGATAAATTTGAAAAAATTTTGTACAGTTGTGTAACTTGCATCGCTCGTCACCCTAAATTATTTAAAAATGTGATTTGAAATCTGATCTGACAATTATAAGCCAACAAGGCGGTCTTTTCAATTATAAGGGTTGCTTTTAACTGTTTACTTTATGTTGTATAGGTTAAAAGATGTTAGACACACGTGATATACCAGACACCCTATAAAAAAAACACAGTGAAAAAGAAAAGAAGATCCCATTAAAGTTTTGAATAATTTATGGTACTTGCATGGCAAGCTGTGCACTACTGTTTTAACTTAAAATTTTAAAATTTGCTTCCGCGTCCACATCCATGGCTGTATCAATATAATTGTTTCTTCCAGTAATTTCTGAGAAAATTCTGTGGAGTGTATCTCTTCTACTTTTTACTTTCTACTTTCATTAAGATATTAGTAAAAATATTCTAGTTAGTTCTATTATTTGTGTATTGGAACTCTTTAAAAAGTAACTAATATATTTAATAAAAAAATATTTTATAATTTAAGTTATTTTAAATGAT